CTTCATCAATCTCACCACACTGTGGTGATCAATCTGCTCCTCCGAACTGTACAAGCTCTCCCACAAGGCACTAACCACGTCTGCCCTATCATGCCTCAGTATTCCACCAAGCTGTGCAAAGCCAGCCAATCCGTCCGCCTGTTAATTTCCCAGCACACCGGCATGACCTGGTGAAAAAATCCAGAAATATCACTTACTTGTGTCCTCCGCAGCGAGGCATGCCACTCTGCACGAAGCATGCTGTCCTGATCTTACTCAGCATGCTGTCTGAGTCCGTTAAACTCACAATCTGTGTGTGTGTGTGTGTGTGTGTGCTTCGTGTTCTCTAGCCAGCGGAAAGCCACAGTGACCGCCTCCACCTCCATTCTTAAGCTGGATGTGGTGGTATCATATGCCAGGCTCTCCAGCGCCAAACGTCGACCATTAACTTTTGCTAAGAAGCCCTAAGCACTTCTATTGACACTGAACCGTCTGTGTAAATGATCAAAACTTCTGAGCGAATATTATCTTGAATTAAGTGCTGAATTTCATTCTCTGCGGCACCTGTTGGCCAGTCTCTGCATTCCCGGCTCAGTGTGATTATGACCCTACACAAGTCTGACTGTTCAGGTGCCACTTTGACCCACTCCTCTCCTCGCCTTTTGTTCTCAAGGATGCAAACCTGTCTAATTGTGTCTTCTGATTGTGCCATCCATGACTTCCCTCTTAAAGCCGCTGACCCTGAACTGCATCCAGAGCTTCGTGTAAAGGGTGGTCTGTGTCTGCAGCTACCTTAAGATATGACTTCACCAGCAGCACCTTATGCCTGCCTGCAACAGTTGGCAAACCAAGGATGTATCGCATAAACACCACTGGGGTGTCTCTGATGCAACCCAGAATGACCCGCATTGCTGCGCTCTGTATCATCATCATGATCATCATCAGGTGCCTTGGCGTTGGCGATCATGCCTCTCCATAATCTGTGATCTCCTGCAGCATGTATCAGTTCGTGTGCCGACACACCTCCATGCCATGCAACAAGACTGTCAAGCATCTTTTCTCGTTGTCTTCCTCTATCCCTCCTTCCACGTGCGCTCTAGTTTGTCTATCTGACTCTTTGAGACGGTAAGCATTCCCAGTCTATAATCAACCACTAACAGGATCAGGTACTGATATAGTGTGAAAAGCATTCTCTGCTCTGTCAATTGCAGCCATAGTCTTAAGTGCACCAGGTCCTTTTTGGCATCTTCCCACAACACTCGCCACATGGTCCTTAAATGACAGGCTCCTGCCAAATGTAATTCCCAAATACTTCAGTTTGCTCTCTCTGTTGATGTTTCTACCATCTATTGTGAGACTTGGGACATTAGCTTTAACGATCCTGTTGTCCAATGAACACCACAAAACAGACCCCTTTTCCGGTCGGACGACAGACCTCATTTCTGTAAACCACTCAGTCACTTTGTCCACTGTCGCTTGCAGCTCTCGGGCTGTTTGTTCCCTCTCTTCCTCCTGCCTATATGCAAGAATATCATCCGCAAAAGTCAGTATCCTTCCAACTCCTGGTGCTTCTAGGCTTGCAATCTTGCTCGTATACACGTTAAAGAGCACAGGCGAGATAGCGGATCCCTGTTTCAGTCGTGGGGCCAAACTGAATGGTTCTGAGGTCCATGAGCCCAGTCGAAGAGCAACCTGACGTGAATATAGGACAGCTGCAATTCAATTCACCATCCATAATGCATCATCAAGATGTCGTATCTTACTCTGGTTATAAGCATCGTCGAGATCCAGTCCTACCGCCACAGTTTCCTGTCTGTTCTGGCACCCCTTATAGACGACAAAAGCAAAAGTGGCCGCATTTGCCCATGTGTCCTTTCCTGGCCTGTAGCTTCCCAGACCTCTTGGGGGAAACTTCCCCCTTTCCAAAATTTCTTGCAGCTTTACAGCAACTATCTTCTCCAAGACCTTCCCAAATGTGTTTTGTAAGGTGAGGATTCTAAAGCCACTGAGCTTTGAATAATACTTAAAAGGTTTTGGTAGTGGGATTAGGTAGCTGTGTACCCAGTTCTGCGGTACTTTTGCTGTCCTAATGTTCTGGTTAAAACTGTCAGCCATCTCCGCCAGGTCCACATCGCTCAAAGCCTTCATGTGGCTATACCTGACCCCATCAGACCCTAGTGCAGTGTCCTTTGGCTTTTTCAAAATTTGTTTAATATCTTCTACTCGTATCATGTCTTCAAAATGCACATTTTTTAAGGCGCCAGCTAACGCCCCTCTAACTGCATCCCTGATGTCTACATCATTATGATCTGTCTGAGCTATAAACCTATGGAGAAAAGCCTCCCCTTTCTCCTTGTCTGTTGTCATGCGCATACCATTGTCTCTATAGATTGTTCCCACTGTCATAGGCCGATCTTTTCTTGGCAGTTTATAGAATTTCCCCAATGTTTTATCGCCTCCCATTTCATTCACAAAAGTTTACCACTTTTGGCTTGTGCAGCACAGTGCTTGAAAACCTCCACCTTGTCCTTTTTCAGATTCTCCGCCATCTCCACTTCCTCTCGTGAGCTTGAGGATGTCTGTTGTAATTTCTTTTGCTGCTTCACTGCGGCACTCTTTGCCTTCCACACCTGTTCCACTTCTGGAGTCCACCATGGGGGCTGTAGATAATTAGTTCTGGCGATTATGTTGCATGCTTCATGTCTGAGGCGTCTGACATTCTTTTAATATGCTCCAACTATTTCAGCCTATTAGCTCTCTTGATGCCAGTGATCAATAGTGATTTAAAAAGTTTCTGAATTTCGTTCTTGCTTCTCTCTCTCTCTCTCTCTCTCTCTCCCTCTCTCTCTCTCTCTCTCTCTCTCTCTCTCTATCTCTCTCTCTCTCTCTCTCTCTCTCTCTCTCTCTCTCTCTCTCTCTCTCTCTCAATTTCTCGCTGTTTGCACCTTTAATGGGTCCAAAGATTCGTCTTAAGACTCTGTTTTCGAAATCTGTAATAAGGCCTCAGTTCTTTTATTTGAGCTTCTAGTTTCAGAGTAATAAAAAACGACCGATCTTAACAACATTTTACATATTTTGAGCTTAGCTCCTCTGTGGATTCTAGCTTTTTGTATGTACGATACATTTCTATTATTTTTTTTTAATGTGATCTATTTGTATATAACTTATCCTGTCACACAATTGTCAGATTTATTTATATATATATATATATATATATATATATATATATATATATATATATATATTGTCTTTAAAATATGGTGCTGTCTATCGGTGGTCCTTTCACTACAGCGAGGTTAAATCATCTCTATCTATTATCGTTTGAATTTGTATGTAGGCTTTCTATGTCTGCTACATTTGTATAGGTGTTTTCTCTTCCCATTTTTGCTTGAAATCTCCTAAAACTTTTAATATGTCTCGTTTTAGAGCTTCATCTATGATATTCGCTAGGGGGTGGGGGTGGGGGTGGGAGGGGGGGGGGGGGTCATATAAATATTCTTTAATATGATCTTCTTTATTTTCAGTGGGTGAATGCACAATAATCTATTTTCGTTTTATTCGTAATTTGCCGATCCTATCACTAACAGCTTTAAAATGTAATAATACTTTTCTCCACCAACCTTTTCTTGAAAACAAATCCTGTCCCTAGTTTATGTTTGTTTTGGGTGTTTTCTTCATACACTATGATCATTCCATTGTCTCCTACGGTACCCTGTTCTATCAATCTTATTTCTTGATTTGCTGTTATATCCGTTCTGTATTTGGATAACTCACGGGTCAGTTCTTCAGCTGCTCCAGCTCTTTAAAGGGTTCGTATATTCCAGGCTCCAAATTTCAACCGTCCTTTCAACGTTCCAGGTTCGTTGTCCTTTTAAATCAATCCGCATTGTTTGTTGATCGTCGGTCAGTTCCTCTGGTTACTCCTCGCAGCGCTATTCTCGTCAGACCGTAATGATATATTTGCTGTTCACTCGCTTCCAGAGAGCCCTCACAACGTCTAGCTTATCATACTTCAGTTCACCGTCAAGTGGTGCAGAACCGGCCTTTCTATCTGTCTGCTCATTTTCCAACATCCCGGCTAGACATGGAGAGAATATCCAAAGGATAATAACTACCCGGGACCTAGACTTCTCACCTAGCACACATTTATCAAGCCTTCACACACGTCTGATTGTGTCTTCAGCTTGCACCATCAAAGACCTTCCTCTTTTCAGTATATGACCCTTAGCTCTTAGCAGGGCTTTATGCAAGAGGTGATTCTTGTCTGCAGCTACTCCGAGATATGACTTTGCTTGCAGAACTTTCAGCGAATCTGCAATAGTAGCCAGTGCAAGTATATATCGCATTCATACTACCAGTATATCTCTTGTACATCCCAGAATTACCCGCATGGCTTCATTCTGTATGCGTTCAAGTTTTATCAGTTGACTTTTTGATATGGTAAGCATTCAAAGTCCATTATCTATCACCGACAGAATCATGTGCTGGAACATTGTAAACAGCCTTCTTTGTTCCATGTACATTTCTGCCAAAATTTTGCGAGCATTGAGTCCTTTTTGGTGTTTCACTGCAACTGCCTCCACGTGATCCCCATAGAACAGACTTTTGTCAAATGTGATACCAAGGTACCTCATTTTGCTTCTCTTTAAATGTTACTGCTGGTAATTGTGAGGCTTAAAACATTAGCTCTTACAATTCTATTGTCCAGAGAACACCACAAAACGGCCTTTTCTGAGTTTATGACAGCACTCATTTTTGCACACCACTCAGTCACTTTGTCCACAGTTGCCTGTAGCTCTTGGTCTATCCGGAACCTATAACTTCCCTGCCTATATTAAAGAACATCATCAGCAAATGTCAATATTCTTTTAACGCCATGTGTTTCAAAGTCTGAAATCTTATCATTATATTTTTAAATATGTATATGTATGTATGTATGTATATATATATATATATATATATATATATATATATATATATATATATATATATATATATATATATATACAACAGAATTCAGCATGAGATTAATGAAACTACTGCTGGTGCTGTTGCTCTGTGTTGCTTCTGTCAAAGCGAAAGGGAATAGAGCAAAGGAGTTCCTTGAGCACTACAATTGTGGTGCCGAGAAACAGTTGAATGCCATGGCTGTGAACATTTGGGACAGGAAACTAAAGTTTGAAATATTTTTGGACAGTTATAAAGTAAGTTTTTCTTTTCCTCATTATCATCAGCATCATCTTTGTCATCACCAGTTACTTTATCTAAAATGCCATGGTTCGCCATTTCACAAGATCAACCGAATCATGGAGCAGGCCAGTGCTCTTGTTTCGATTTCTTCATGTAACAGAAATCTTTGTAGCTGCCACCGATTTGTCAAGGTCTGCAAATATTCACTCATGGGTCTCATTTCTCTAATATCCATTAATGTCTTAGCATCTCGAAGACACTATTTTAGCTTTTACGTGAGATAAGTTTACAACAGTATGTAGATAACTGTCTTCACCGATGTTTTTATTCCTTGTAATACACTGTTGATATAATACAATAACTATGTTGATTATTTACCTCTTATTTACCTCAACCCTTGTACGGATCTTTTCTACGCAGATGATACAGCCCTGCTTTGTGTAGACAATTTAATCACGTTTGTCCACAGACGCAGTAAAGATCAAAACAGATTATGGAATATAAAGACAACAAAAATAATGTCAACAGACAAAACTGGCTGTCGCCCAGAAAAACAAAAACAAATTATGAAGACGTTGAAAATGTCACAACTGTGAATATCTCGGCTCCATAACAAATATAAATGGAAACTGTTTGACAGAAATCAAAAGATGGATGGCCATAGCAATGCAAAGATTAAATAGCATTAAAAGTCTATAGTTAAGCACCTGCAAGGAAATCAAAATTAAAATTTTGAGAGTTTGCATCTTCCCTCTAGCAACATACAATTGTGAGTCGAGGAGTTTCTCCCAGTCCTTAAAAAAAGGGAATAGGGGCTTTTGAGCTGAATTTCTAGAGAAAGATTTTCTGGATACCATGGACAAAGAAGAAAAGAAAAACTGACGTTGTAAAAGATCTGAATATCAAATAAGATTGGCTAGTAAACAGCATCTTGCGTTGGAAGCTGACATTTTTTTTTTTAAAACTCGAACATATCACCTTTGCGGATTGAAAAAGGCCGACAAACACGAAGATGGGCACAGGAAATAAGTGTGAATATAAACGTACACGAGGCGGGAGAGCTGGCGAGAGACCGAGTTTCTTTCAGACAAACCGTGATGAAAGCGACGTTCTGCAAAGGACCTGCTACATAATGATGATGTTGATTATGTTTCTGACAACTCGAGATGTACCCGTGTTGTTCTTCATCTTCTTCCAATTTAGATTTTTCAGGCTGCGGTGCATATTTTATATTGTCCTGTACCGTTTCTATGGATCAATCGGTAGTTGGCTCTGGAAGTCAGAGAAGGTCTTAGCTAATCTTCAGGAAAGCCAATGCTTACCAATGACATTGATGGCTGTACTACTTCCACGATGGCCATATTCACAAACCTTGTAGGAAAGAAATACGCAGTTATGACTATCTAGAGCAGTGTGCTTCAACCTTTAGTCTGCTGACTGGCACTGGTCTGGCAAAATATTTTATGTCGTTCCACAAACAAATTGTCCATCAACAAAATATTAGGGGTATAGTAGAAACCAAAAGGAGAAATGGAATGGATTATATCTCAGCGTTTCGCTCTGGATAAGACCACTACTACCACATGCATTATATATTTTTACCATTTAGCAGCAGATGTCGCATTTGCTAAAAAAAAAAAATAGAATTATTGAACATTGAATGTAAAAAATTATACTTAATATATCAACATCTGATATTTATTTATGTCCTAGCCATCAGCTGATCCTGGAAAATATTGTTCTTCTATTGTTCTGATCCATCGGTCCAAAACGGTTGAAAAACACTGAAATATATTTTCCATGACCAAACTTGAGATGTAAATACAAGTGTGTCGTTGATAGAGATGTTTTTAAATAATATCCTTACATAATCCACCTGCTACATACCTGCTCAGAAACATAGCTGGCTCTAAGTGGACACATCAGCCGTCTTCGTACTCACAGTCATTCATCATATCTACTTGTTGATGCTAAATGGCCTTCATTACTTGTGATGGAGCAACATCTAAACACACATGATGCGCTGATTGGGACTGAAAACGTTAATGACTGATGTCAAATGTCACTCTTCCTCTGTTTCTGTATGCACCCTCTCTATTTAACCACTGGTGCATCAGACATGTGGTGCTAGGTGCACAGTTTTAAAAACAAATCTGCACTTGATGGGCTATACCAGTGTAATTCGCTATGTGAACTGTTTGTAATAGGTCATCAAGAACTCACGGTTGATCTCTCAGTTCCCTTCTGTTCTGTGCAATCATTTTTATTTGCGAAGGAAACCACGACGGGGCCATTGACTTCTCTCATTAGTGTGTTTTCGAGTAGTTCTTTTTGAAGTCCTAGTTTTTGTCCGTTGTTTCCCATTTCAAAGCTAGACTGCTTTCATGAAAACTCAATAGACCACATAATGCTGACATGCACCCTGTATAAACGCCTGTATACAGTCGGAATATAAATTTAGCCAAACAGCTGAACGGGGATTCTGGGACCTCTCCACGGGTGATCCTCATCCGCATGGTGGCACTTTGTGTCACCGAGTGTTTATCGCTTGTGTGATGTCCTGGTAGGGTACAACTTATCAACCTACCTTTGAAGACTATTCGAAAAAAAAAAAAACACACACACACAACTGAACAAGCATTTGACATCCAAAGAATGCTCACATGTTGGTAATAATGAGAACATACAGAAACAAATAAAGAAATACATTTGCAGGCCACGCAAAAAAAAGTATATCAGTCTGTATAAATAAATATATGAAAAGACAGAGACGGTAAGGTAAAAAAAAAAAAAGGTGGGGTGGGGAAGGGGGGGGGGGGGTTGAAGAAAACAAGAAATAAAAGAGAAGGAATTAAATGGTGGAACACAAACTAAACTGGCCAAGACTGCCTAACTATTCTCCTACAGTTGTGAATTGTTCGCCTTTAAGGCTCGGTCAATCTGGAATTGTAGGTGTTTAAAAAAAAAAAGTCTGCTTCAGTCGGGATCTGAACGCATGGCCTTCTGATCCGCAAGCGAGCATCTGGTTGCTATACCAGGCGCATCCTTAGGTATATGTGTGTGTGCATACAAATACACATGTGTGTGTGCAAACACTTATACACCCATTCCCATTTGGACGTGTACACGTCTGTGTGTGTGTGTGTGTGTGTATGTATATGTATTGTATATATATAAATAAATAAATAAATATATATATATATATATATATATATATATATATATATATATATATATATATATATGTACAATAACCTATAGTGCATAACAGCTGTCTCCTCAACCACTATCACCAGGTACTAGAGTACCGGTCCAAGCCACTTGTTTTGGTGCACTTCAAAGAAATTAGACCACAATTATAGTCGATTTTGCTCGAAATAGATTGAACGTGGGCGCTTTTTTCATAAATGGACAGATGTTTCCTGTAGATCACTACCTTCTTTGTTCTTCAACAGTTTACACGAGCAGTTGTCCATACATGTATGTCTGAACTTTGTTGACCTTTCTTGATTTCATTCCATTTATTATTCTCTTGACTTTTTTTTCGAATATATTTAACCTGCATTTTACGTTTCTAGTTGCTCTTCAGTCTTAACCGGCACGTGTTAGAATTAAAACTAGCAAAGTAAGCATTAAAATCCATTGTTAATTTGGTTTTAATAAGGTTGTTTTGGGCAGTAACAAAAGTTGCTGCCTTGTTAATTTCATTATTCATTTTCTCTTTACTGACCTTATTTCCTGCCTAGCTCGTACTAGAAAAAGTCTAACATTTGTTTCCCAGTAAACAATGAAAAAATATGAATTAATTATTTCCTCAATACTGAAATGAATAGTTCAAGAAGAAAATGCGCCAAGGTGCCCTCCAATTCAGCCCCTCTACCATGAACAGCGACTCTTGGCGTCAGCTGTCTAAAATCAAGAACATCTGTACTGCAGCCCAGCCAAGCCTGAATAAGGTTATAGAGGTGAGGAATGTGACTGTTACCGTCGTGTATACCAGGCCTGGTGTCTCCGTGGCAAGGACGTTATATCGCTTGCGGAGTCTATGAAGATTTTAGGTTTTATTTCAGACTTGTTTTTTTTTTTTTTTATTGTTTGCGAGAATAGATGCTTTTAAAATCCCAAGGACTCGTTGCTACTGAATGTGTACTTTCTTGAATGTACTTTTTCTAATGGTTGAGTAACCGTTCTGAGGATAAAAATCTGGCCACATGCAATTAAATCTTTTCAACAATGTTGAGCTTCTTTCATCTAAAACCCTTAAAAAGCCAACCTCATAGATTAAGAAGAAACATCATTGCATTATTGTTTGGTATTCCCAATATTTGACATGTTGCAGATGTAACCAACTGGTTTCTCTAGCCAAGGGTGCCAGGTCATGAGGGTTCAGGTCAGTTGCGAGGCAAGCTTTCACTACAAATACGCCACTCCGTTTAAGTCATTTTTCGTAAGGAAACTTCGCTAGACGATTACGCCACTCATGCAGAATCTGCAGGTTTGAAAACTACCAGTTACCAATCTACGATGCTAGCTGAGCACGCATCCTCTCAAAAGCAAAGCTACTTGGAGAAATATACTACACTCTGGCCTCTTCAATGCAATCGTTAGTAGCTAGTGCTTACGCATAGGAATTGATCAGTCCTTGCCACTGATATTGGTACTTTATGCATATAATATTAGTGTCAAACATATTATTATTAATTATTTTCCATTCGGCGTATTATTATTAAAGACTGAGCTCTTTGGAGTCCCCCTCCCTTACCATCTAGACCAAGTGTCAGGAGGCTAAGCCACCTTCAGTGTTGTCTGTGCGTGTCCTGTGTGTGTGTTTGTGTGTGTGTGTTTATTCGTGTGTTTGTATTTGAGTTTGTTTGTGAGTGATTGTGTGTGTGCGTCTGTGTATTTTGGTGCCGCTTCCCATACCTATCTAACCCCATAGACTTTTCCAGTTTTCAGATACAACCCATACCGAGCACCGCTGCCTTCTGGTTTTAGTTTTCTCAGTATAATATCCAAAGTAAAAGGCCCTTTCCACGAGGTAGCCCCATCAAACACATGATGCTAGACCCATATGTTATTGACCAATCGGCTCCCCATAACTGACGTTATCTTCAACTTGCTGACCACCTGTGATTGTATGCATGTAGGTGTGTATATAGTGTTTCGAGTTAGTTTTATGGATTTGCATGACCGTGTGTGTGTTTGTGTGTGTGTGTGTGTGTATATACATATGAGTGTGAGTAAATAAGTGTATGTATGACAATGATAATGCTTTTATCTAGTATATTGTTTTAGTATATTTCTGTGTCGGTATGAATGTGTATGTATGGCACAATGTACATGTTTTGAGGTGGACTCATGTGAACAAAATACCATGGACCGTGTTGTGTGGAGTGAGCACACCAGAAAGAGAATAAAAATAAAGGAAGACAAGATTGCAGAAAGAATGAGAGTTGGGCGTCAGAGAAGAAAGAGATTAAACACACATAGTAACAACAATGGTCCTGAAATCGCATGCTAAAGTTGTGGAGGTTTTTTTTTCTTAACCCTGGGGGATCTTGCTAGTCCCACTCGCCATCGCCATGGGCTGTGAGCTCTATGTCCCCTCGTAGCGCAAAATGACACTTTCGTCTGTAAACACGGAAAGGTGCCTTTCAAATAGGACTATGTATGTATTAGCATATGTGTCTGGGTGTGTATGTAGTATAAGAGTATGTGTATGTATATTGTGTAGATCAGTAGGTTTGTAAGAAAGTGTGTATAGGTCAGTAGGTTTGTATGGGAGTGTGTATTTAAACAATGCATGCTTTATAGATAAACTATGCTCACAGTAGGACGGTCGAGTGTTTGAAACTGAGAGTGTAAGACAGGCCTGCGTGCTAAATTGTGACCTTTTTAAAAAAAAAGTTTGTTTGTATTTTCCTACTCCTCAGTAAATTACCTGGTACCAAAGAACTCGATCTCTGAACCCCTTCAATACTATTTTGTTTGACTTTTGCCCAGGATTGGATTCGCACCTACAGGCTTGTTTTGGCTCCAGCTCCACCACCGTTCCTGGGTTGTGTGTTTACATTTATTTAATCGGGGTGTGCTTTCTTCTCCATTCTCTTAATCATAATCATTATCAACTACTTACTCAGATATGCAGACCTTCAAATATCTTTATCTATATATATAACAATCGATGTTTGTGTGTTTGTTTATGAGCAATAGACTCGGAAACTACTGAACCGATTTAGCTGAAATTTTCAGGATATGTTTGTTTTGATAAAGGATGTTCACCCATCATGGTTTGAAATTAAGCCTGTCATTGCTAGAGATAGTTGGCATAATTTAAGCAAAAATATTGGAAACTAATATTTAAATTGTTAGTGACATCTAATTATAGCCACGTTAGTAATTGCGCATGCGCCGTAGTCAGAACGCAAGACTTCCACCATTCGCCGGAGAGTTACGTGTAGCCAACGCCTTCTCTAATACATAGAGTAGGTCGTGGTACAGCAAACAAGATATCTTTATATTTTTGTAGCAGTTACTACCACAATAACCATATTAAACATGGTTTCTATTTTCTGGTTTTTTTTTTCCAAACAACCTTCGATTGGGGGGGGGGGGGGGGGGGGGGGGGGGGGGGGGGGGGGACTATCTCGACGTCGGCGCAGACATTGACTGCGACATTAACTTCATTAACCGTGTTAGACAGGTGCGATTTCTATTGTTGTGCAGTTTCATTAACATATCTGGAGTATCTGTCTAAGAGAAAACAATTGCCTGCGGTTTTGAGTTGTGTTTAAATCGGGACAGAGTAGTAGGGACACACATCTCTATTAGTTTAGTTCTCTTTTCGTTGCTCCGATGAAGTTGCTGCTTGGTCGAATGGTTAGAACACTGGGTTCCTGTGCGGGAGACCAGGGTTCGAATCCGCAGTAGTTTTTTTTGTTTTTTTTTACCCCGGAATAAAATATTATCCTTATCTGCTCTGTCGTGGTGACAGCACTAGCCATGTTGCCCTTAATACTAAAAAAAAAAAAAAAAAAAAAGACAAGTAAATGGGTAAACATTTTGATAATTAAATTTGACCATTTCGCATACCTATGATTGCATTTTTAAACTTTCCGATTGCATGGTTACGCTGAAATTTCATAGCTTTCCATTTATTTTTATTTAGATTTAGTTATTTCATCTGCATTGGAATTTTAAGATGTGCTGTTTACCATAGCGTTCATTTTCTAATTATGTTTTTTTTTTCCTGTTATCATTTGCTTTCCATGTGTTGTTTTTTTCTCCCAACTACTTCAATGAGGGAAAGAGTTGTCGGTGAATTGGGGGGGGGGGGGGGCCCAAACTGTTAACTGAGAGAGCTTTAAGTCACAGTAACTGCTTTACCCACTTAAAGTAGCAGCAGCAGTAGTAGTTGTGGTTGGGCTGTTACACCGTAGTGCTCTCATGTGAAGACCGCCGGTAAGGTTATGGCGTTCTTCTGTCGGGAAGCGAAATTATACATCCTAACCTGACCAGTCTGTGGCGACAGCACTAGCCATGCGGAACCAAATCTTCTGGCTCACGACTCTCTGTGGTAACACAGATAGCAGTGACATTATTTTAGCTACTATGGTGGTGGTCGTGGTAGTAGTTGTACTGGTACTTGAAGGATGACGTGGTAAATATTACACTAGCCCCATTCACTACCTACTACAATTCCTGCTCCACATTTTAGTCCGGATGGACAGGGATGTCAATGTCAGTTACAGCAACAACAAAATATCGCCAGGTAATGATTTTCAAATATTTCGAAGAGGGAGAGAGCAGTAGTCGGTGGAAGAGGGGAGGGGAGTGGGTAATGACTTAAATTTAAGAGAACTCAAAGAGCCTTACACGTGATTTTCAAGTTCTCATTACCTAATTTATTTATATTTTACTGACGCAACCTCCGCTTTTCTATTTTTTACGACTCACTTTGATATTTACAAGTACAGTTGTAGCTTTACTTCCGTCTCCTATAAAAATACAAACAGCTTTAGCATGTGATAACCAAATAACCATTTTTGTTACTGTGCTAATAACACCATTTAAACGACCACTAATATAAAGGTGCCTATTCTAGTATTCCGCTGGATATCTCCTTGATGGATGTGCTACAGTGAAGTCCTGCATTCTATAACTGGCACACTTGGCACCGACACAGCATCATGTAATACAGTCGCTACCTTTACAAGCCAACAATAACGCTTGTGACAGGCCACATAAACTTTAATGGCATTAAAGTTACACGTCACAAGATGATGATGATTATTCAATAAAACATGTACGATAATAAATCTCCATTATCTATTCTGATGATATAAAAGATTACAGCAGCTTTTCTCAATGGGCTCCTGCCATTAAAATAAGTAAATAGACATTGAACTGTCTCCCGCAAACAACGGTAAATCAAAACCTCACAAAGAGAAAACGTTTCTATAATATCCTCATACAGAGAGCCAACACAGTTTCCGCTAACCCCGCGGAAACACGTCCGACTTGGACAATGGAAATATCTCAACTGCCGAATCCTTTGTGTTCTGCAGGAGCCTTTGTGTTAATCGCCCAGCATTCAATTAGCTGGTATCCCAGGTAACAGACCCGACCGGTGTCCGCTGTGTGAACCTTTCACCTGCGCTATGACCACTAGAAGAAACTAGAAGAAACGTTAACTCTTGGACTATAAGATTACAACAGCTTATCCCCCCCCTCTCACAAACTGAAAATCTATGTTTTCAGTTGCATAATTTTAACTCTGTTGTAGTCATCTAGACAACTTATATTCGAATATACCTAGTGAAATCCACATGTAGTTAAGTGAGAATGCATGTAAACGAAATGATGATAACTTTTGTTATAATAAGAATGCATGTAAATAAAATGATGATAACTTTTAGTTATAAGACATGAAATAACAACAAGAAATACAATATAATATCATAACTGGTTCACTAATAACTCATAAGCTAAATCCACATATCATAATTACTGTCAATCCCAATAAATGGAATCATCTGTCCAAAACACTTGAGAAATTAACTAACTAAACACTTCTCATAGGTATGTCCTTGAAATATACATATCTGGATAAAGTATGTTGATAACAATATATAAGCATCCATTGTAGTGTAGTGAGGTATAAAAATTCCAATGTGAAAAGGAACTGATTGTCTCATGACGTACAAGGAAATCTGGACAAATAGTCAGCAAGTACGTTCTCCTTACCACTCCGGTAGATGATGGTATAGTTAAACGTCTGAAGAAACAAAGTCCAACGAAGAATACGGGCATTTGTTACAGACCCTGTGTTCAAAACAGCAAGTGACTTGTGGTCTGTAATAACGAAAAAATTTCGCCCTAACAAGTACCTGGAGAATTTTGCGATGGACCAGTAAATTCCCAGTGCTTCTCTCTCTCCGACACTATAGCGTGTTTCAGTGTCAGACAGCTTGCGACTTGCATAGAGGCAAGGATGTAAAGTCCCGTCATACATTTGGGAAATTACTGCTCCCAGTGCGACATTTGAAGCATCTGAGGAAACATAAAAATCAAGTGATAGATTAGGCAATCTCAGAAATGGTTTATTGTTAAATGTTCTTTGTATCTGGCTGAGTGCTTGTGCGCAGGATTCATCCCAAAACACCTCTCGAGGCATCGTCTTTCTTGTCAACTCAGACAACACAGATGTTATAGAGGAATAATGGGGAATAAATTTAGCGTAGAAGTTACACAGACCCAGTAGAGCTCTAACATGCTTTTTGGTTTTTGGGGTAGGGATTTTTAGAATTTTGCCCACATTATTGTCTTCTGGTTTAAGGAGACCATTTCCAACAACATGACCCAAAAATGTTAGCTCATGAAATGCTATCTGGACCTTAGAAGGTCGGATGGTTAAGCCAAAACTTTTAATTTTAACAAGAAGAGATTTCAAACCCTGAATGTGTGCATCCAGATCATTATGAAATAGTAAGAGATCATCTAAATAGTAGATAATGTCTGAACGACCTTGAGCTAACTTCCTAACCACGTCCAGCAGTGTGAATGTAGCTGGAGCATTGGTTAGCCCAAAACTCAAATATCTAAATTGAAACAAGCCTCGAGGTGTCTGGAAGGCAGTATATTGTCCTCGGCAAGTGGGATTTGCCAATATCCTTTTGACAAATCTAACCTTGTGAAATATTTAGCTCCTGCTAACCTGTGAAACAAATCCTCTATATTTGGCATATTTTCTGCATCTAAAACAGTAACACGGTTTAATTTTCTGTAGTCAATACAGATGCGTATGTTTCCATCCTTCTTCTTAACAATTACCATGGGAAAAGAATATGGTGATGAGGATGGTTCTATGATTCCTAGACGCAACATCTCGTCAATTTCCTTCTCAACCGCTTCCTGATAGTGTAGCGGTAGATTATATGGTCGCAACTTGATTGGACAATCATCTACTAACTTAATGGTGTGTACAGCTTGCGTTGTTCTACCCGGAATGTCAGTAAACGTAGTTGGAAATTTCTGTAAGAGTTGTTGGAATTTATGTTGGTATTCTTGGGAAATAGATGGTGAAATTTCTACATCTTTCCAAGACTCCTTTGGCTCTAATGCAGGCAACACAATATGCAATGAGGTACTTTCCTCAGCATTACATGGAGTTTCGTCAACAACGTAACAGAAATTAGCGTCTGAATTAAGCCTATCTGTGTTCTCAATCTCCCTATTAGCAGTATCGATAACTGTCTCTAGTTCTGCTGGACGTGGTTTAAAAAGCTTGAGCATATTAATGTGGTATACTTTTCTATGTCCTCTCACATCAACCAGATAGTCTACAGATGAAATCTTTTTCACTACCTCGAATGGACCCTGCCAGCATGTCAACAGTCGATTTGACGTGTCTGGTAGAAGAAGAAGAACCTGCTCAGAAGGTTTCAATGAAATCAGTCGACGTCCCTTGTTAGCATATTCACGGTGTCGACTTCCTGCAACATCCAGGCTTTGTCTAGCAATTTCACAACCAGAGATAATTTTGTGACGCAACTCTGTCACAAACTCAGAGTATGTTTCAAGAGAACCCTCCCTGTCTCGGTCTGACCACTGATCTTTTAAAATAGACAAAGGGCCTCTTGGATTGGCACCGTAAACAAGCTCAAAAGGTGAAAATCCAGTACTGGCTTGCGGAACCTCCCTGTATGCAAAAAGTACAGCAGGTAGATACCTATCCCAGTCATCTGGAAATTCAGCTGTAACTTTTGCTAGCATGGCTTTTAAGCGCCCGTTAAAATTTTCTACCACACCATTTGACTTCGGATTATACCGAGCTGAAAATACGTGTGCGATCGGGACAGAAGTTTGTCAAAAGACTGCATGGTCTCTGAGATGAACTGAGATCCATGGTCTGATAAAATGGTATCAGGAAACCCTAGTCTAGAAAATATAGATATAAGAGCTTCAGCTACTGCCTCTGTGGTGATAAATTTCATCGGCACCGCCTCGGGCCAACGAGAAGCAAGGTCAATAAAGGTTAATATGTAGCGATATCCTCTTTTTGACATAATAGAAAGTGGTCCAACAATGTCGATAGCTACTTTCTCGAATGGACGAAATGGTAAGTCTGTCTTTTGGATTGGAGCATTTTGTGATGCATCCTTTCTTGCCATCCGTTGACACTGCTGACATGACCTGCAATATGTCTTGATGTCTTTAGAGAAACCTGGCCAGTAAAATTGAGAAAGAATCCTTCTCTGTGTCTTACCAGTACCTAAGTGCCCTGCAAAAGGAATATCATGTGCAGTCTTTAGAACCTCGACCCTATGTGCTTTAGGTACCACTAGTTGTTTGTAAATATGGAGTGCAGCCTCGAAGTAACGCATCAACAGTCCATTCTTGACATAAAATTGCCATTTCCCATTTCTGGCATGTTGGTAACCTGGCAACATCGCTTTCTCAAAACACTTTTTCAAAGTTGGATCTGCCTTCTGCGCAGCTGCAAATGATGCTGCAGTGACTGATGGTGATGCTGAAACTGGTGTGTTTTCAGTCAAACCACACTCAATTGTTATCCGATCAGTCTGTGGTGCTTCTGGTAACTGGTTGAGAGCACTATCTCTGTCTATGCGCTGCTGCTGTGCTCGTGTAACAGCATTGGCCACTGTGTCATTGTCGTTGTTCCATTTCTTAATATCTTCTGTTGTACAAGCTCGCACACCTGGAACTGTACCAAGAATGATATCTGGTGAACCTCGGTTTACGACACATACCTCTGCAACTCCGGTAAAATGGGGACATCTAATTTTCACAATCGCAAGTGGATATTTTTCAAGATTTCCACCGAATGTTGCGGCATTTAGCATACCTCCCTGTATAGGCAGATGCAGGGACTAAGTATCTTGCCACGCCGATAACGTTCGCGCCTGTGTCCCTTAGAACTGTGCATCTTACCTTGCCAATGTAACCAAAATGAAGAGGTAATCCACATTCTGTAGGCATAGCGGACAAAGCAGGATACAATATATCAGGTCGAACTCTGACCTGTACTGTATCGCTGTGGCTGGCATGTGTTATGTCCTCTACCTGAACTGCATTGCCCTGTCTTGGTGTAACTCTAGGACAGAATCTTTTCAGGTGATTCCCCCCCCCCCACACACAAAGCATTTAAGGTTGTTATCATGGTGCCTTCTCCTGTCTGGTGTCGGAGATTCGTCATCCCGTCTATAACCTTTGTGATGACACTGGTCTGATCGGTGACGCCAGGAAGAACAGTACTGACAACCTCTAGGCCGGCTAAAGTACCTATGTGACTGTTCTGTCTTTTGAAAGGCTCTATCTGGTCGTCTGGAACGATCATAGCTGTGGTTTCTAAAGTGACCTGCTCTGCCAAAAGTGTGAGGTTTCTGAGCAACATTATTTTGCGAATAATGTGAGCGGTTCACGCGCATGCTAGATGCGGCAGGAATAGGTTCTGTATAACTTTCCTTTTGCAATGACTTGCCAGGATGAGCACTCATATATTGCTCACCCAGTTTCACCATTTCCTCAATAGATGGTGGTTTTCTTTCTTGAAAGAAAGCAAACAATCCTGTGCTACAACAGGACAGAATCTTATCCCTAATCATCAGGTCTGCTAGACGATCATAAGAATTACCGACCTGCGCCAGAGTTGTCCACCTAGAAAACAAGGTCTTAACATTGGCAACAAAATCACCAAAACTTTTTTCAGAGGAAGGCATTATGTTTTTGAATTTCTGACGATAGTTTTCCTCTGTCAAATTTTGGGAAGCCAATAATTTCTGACGCACTATCTGGAATGATGCACGGTCTTCCAACGGTAAATTAGTGAACGTGTTTAACACTGTTCCGGTTAGCAGATCTCTTAGACGAGCTACCCACTGTGTCTCAGGAATCTGGGCTGACGACATCGTTTCTTGGAATCTGTCCAAAAAAGAGTGTAAACAATCATTTGTTGTTAAAAAGGGCAACTTCGGCCTGTATGACCCATTATTCCTGTCTCGGTTGGAGAGCTGATCCATCTCCACACTTTTCTTGCTCTCTACCTCCTTAATAGCAATCATTTTATCTCTTTCTACTCTAGCAATTTCTATCTCAGTGTCGAATCTAAGTTGTTGCTGCTTGTGAGACAGTTCTAATTCTCGATCTTTAAATTGCTGCTGCTTATCATTTTCCTGCATCTGCTGCAACATCTGCTCTCTTTTAAATGCTATTTCCTGTTCCTTAAGTACCCGTTCTGCCTCTAACTTTTCCTTTTCTAACCTTATTTGTAGTTCAGCCTTTTCTCTTTCTACACAAATTAGCATTTCTGACTCTTCTTTTAGTTTTAGTCTTTCTGTCTCTGCTTTTCCTTTTTCTGCCTCTGCTTTTTCTTTTTCTGCATTAAGAAGTTGTATCTTCAACTCAGAGTCAATTTTCTTCTGCTGTCTTTCTAACGCTCTTTCTTCTCTAACGCTATCTGTGATTTCTTTAAATCTGGCTTCGGCAAATTTGACCAACTCTGGCCCCTCTAAACTCATAGATCTGCCTAGCTCAACAAAATCCGCAAAGGAAGCCATTATAACTCGACGTATTTTGCAATACAGAAAATATAAAATAATAATAAATGGGGGAAAAAAATGAGACAAACAATGGTTGACAAACAAGACGCTACACTTCGTTCACTGCAACTAATGTACAAAACGACAACGTTGAGAGAATCGAATAGTAAAAATAAAGTTGACACCACAAGCCTGTTATAAAAAAGAAATCATGAAAAGTAAACAGAAGAGCACACCAATGACGTGACGACGGAAACACACTTAACGCATACAATTTTAGCGACTAATTGTCAGAAAGGCCACGAATATTTGCATATCCTCTTTATCAGAGCCGCCAATTTGACAAGAAAAGCTGAAGAAAAGAACTAATATGTCATCCCAAACTCAATGAGCTGATATATTAAAGTTACAAATAACAGAAAACATGGATGATAATCATTCACTCTAACACCTCGGATATGTTATGAGACGAAACGAGCACACAAAACAACTCCCATCCGTCAACAAAAAACATTACCCGATTAAATCCACAGATGCGATCCTTAGGCGTCGTACTGCTATCTTAGGCGTCGTACTGCGATCGATTCAGGCGTCGTGCGATCCTCAGGCGTCGTACTGCGATCCTTAGGCGACGTACTGCGATCCTTAGGCGACGTACTGCGATCCTTAGGCGACGTACTGTGAACAGGGACCTAGTAGTAATGATGCGAAACTCAAGCATCCACTGCTGAACTCCGTTGAAGAATGTCAATTACGGCCGAAAAAAACGAGTAATTCTATAGAGTCAAATAACACTGCTAATGTCACCAGCACTTTATACAGCTGTAAATCAATTAAGGCCTACTGTTAGTTCACGTATGTCCGATAAGTTCGTAAAGCTGCTAGAAACACCCGTTAGCACTGCATACACGTAAACAAAATAGTTTATAACTCCTTTCAGGATCCGTTAATTTATAACTTTATGTAGAACAGTTATATGTATTCGTTCAAACGATCATCAGTCAGTAGCACAAACACTGGATAAATCAACACTGTTTATAAATCCATCAAAGGACCGGCTTGGCCATCCACTGTTGTACACTTAATTTGTACATTCTTTTGTATACTTTATATTCAACCAAGTATTTAGGCCTAGGGTGCCTATTCTAGTATTCCGCTGGATATCTCCTTGATGGATGTGCTACAGTGAAGTCCTGCATTCTATAACTGGCACACTTGGCACCGACACAGCATCATGTAATACAGTCGCTACCTTTACAAGCCAACAATAACGCTTGTGAAAGGCCACATAAACTTTAATGGCATTAAAGTTACACGTCACAAGATGATGATGATTATTCAATAAAACATGTACGATAATAAATCTCCATTATCTATTCTGATGATATAAAAGATTACAGCAGCTTTTCTCAATGGGCTCCTGCCATTAAAATAAGTAAATAGACATTGAACTGTCTCCCGCAAACAACGGTAAATCAAAACCTCACAAAGAGAAAACGTTTCTATAATATCCTCATACAGAGAGCCAACACAGTTTCCGCTAACCCCGCGGAAACACGTCCGACTTGGACAATGGAAATATCTCAACTGCCGAATCCTTTGTGTTCTGCAGGAGCCTTTGTGTTAATCGCCCAGCATTCAATTAGCTGGTATCCCAGGTAACAGACCCGACCGGTGTCCGCTGTGTGAACCTTTCACCTGCGCTATGACCTAATGTGGGATTGCATCTTTTTATATAAAGGTTTGCTTTCTGACGTTAAATTTAACGTTATAAGTATCAGTCAACTCGCCATTCGTTCACTGATTACTCCTCATTCGAAGTAGGAGTGCATCTTTCCTAGAGGCAAATAACCAACACACTGCACACAAATACGCCAGATCTGTAAAACGGATAGTACGTAAAACTTCCTGAAACACTACCAATGTCAAGAAATAGACGAACAACCAGGACTGTCCATTGGAGTTTAAAACTGTAAATAAAAAAAATTAAAAAAACTCAAAAAAAAAAAAAAAAAAAAAAAAATTAACACTATTGCACCGTAATTGGTATTTAATTATAGACTTCTGTTCTATCCTTCTTCTATATTCGTCTAATCCTTCAAGTCTAGTTTGGGGTTCGTAGTCATGTCTCATCTACAGCCTTATGTCTTGTGAACTTTCTATCATTTCTGACACAAAATTATCTTTCATGCCATAATGTAAAACGTTTCTCTTACCTCACGTTTTTTCCTGTCCAATGGATTTCTGTGTCCACCTTCGTGCTGGTCCATCCCTACATCTCTTAACAGGTATTTCAGTCTCCCAATCGAAATGCTGTTTACCAACCATTTTTTTTTTTTGGGAAAGATCTTTGAGAAACAGAAATCCACAGACAGATGTTGAAGCATCAGCATTTCTGTACAGTTGTCTGAAGGTGATTAGTACAAATCCCAGTAACAAAACTATCAAATTGAATTTGTCCCTATATCTGATGTGTCTTGTAACAATATTGTAATATCCACTTTTTAACCAAATATTCGTATGAGACCGAATTTAAACTTGGACACTCCTCCCCCTGCTATGTCAACAGCACCAACAATTCTTTATTCACTAATAATTATGTAGGGGTGGGGGGGGGGGGGGGGGGGGGGGGGGGGGGGGCGGTACTGATTAAGTCTTTTACCACAAGCTATAAATAACTAATATTATATTCTAAGAATTTTTATTTCTTAGAAATGGCTTAGGCAAACTGAAAAAATTTCAGATGAAATTCAGGTAAATAATGTACACACAAGGCTGCTGAATGGTCATAAACCACGAGGCAGACCAATAAGTCGATGGAGATACAATATCCAGACAGAACTATGATAAACACTTAGCGTAACCATCTGCAAAGAGAAGGCCACCCAGAGAGATAAAAGGAAGGGAGTGACATCTGCAGCAATGAACATCGAGGGCTCGGAATGAAGAAGAAGGAGAAGATTATGTTCTAAGAAGTTGTTACTTTAACTAATGTGACAAGCATTACTTCAGAGAGAAGCGATGTCATTTGTGTTAGGAAATGAGAATGTAGACAGACTGGCTGGTGCTGTACCACATTAATGTTAACTGATGCATGGGAAATTTATTGTGGCCTAGGCCCTTCAGGAGAGAGTGAACAAAGCGAACGCACAACTAGATCATCGCAGCCTAAGGAGAAAAATCCCGTGGGGATTGACCACAGAATATGACAGGTACTGGACACTTAGAGAATATGACAGGTACTGGACACTTAGAGAATATGACAGGTACTGGACACTTAGAGAATATGACAGGTACTGGACACTTAGAGAATATGACAGGTACTAGACACTTAGAGAATATGACAGGTACTGGACACTTTGAGAATATGACATGACACTTAGAGAATATGACAGGTGCTGGACACTTAGAGATGACAGGTATGACACTTAGAGGACAGGTACTGGACACACAGGTACTGGACACTTAGAGAATATGACAGGTACTGGACACTTAGAGAATATGACAGGTACTAGACACTTAGTGGATGTGACAGGTACTGGACACTTAGAGAATATGACAGGTACTGGACACTTAGAGAATATGACAGGTACTGGACACTTAGAGAATATGACAGGTACTGGACACTTAGAGAATATGACAGGTACTGGACACTTAGAGAATATGACAGGTACTGGACACTTAGAGAATATGACAGGTACTGGACACTTAGAGAATATGACAGGTACTGGACACTTAGAGAATATGACAGGTACTGGACACTTAGAGAATATGACAGGTACAGGAAATTAGAGAATATGACAGGTACTGGACACTTAGAGAACATGTCAGGTACTGGGCACTTAGAGAATATGACAGGTACTAGACACCTGACAGGTACTGGACACTTAGTGGATGTGACAGGTACTGGACACTTAGAGAATATGACAGGTACTGGACACTTAGAGTACAGGTACTGGACACTTAGAGAATATGACAGGTACTGGACACTTAGAGAAAATGACAGGTACTGGACACTTAGAGAATATGACAGGTACTGGACACTTAGAGAATATGACAGGTACTGGACACTTAGAGAATATGACAGGTACTGGACACTTAGAGAATATGACAGGTACTGGACACTTAGAGAATATGACAGGTACAGGAAATTAGAGAATATGACAGGTACTGGACACTTAGAGAACATGTCAGGTACTGGGCACTTAGAGAATATGACAGGTACTAGACACCTAGAGAATATGACAGGTACTGGACACTTAGTGGATGTGACAGGTACTGGACACTTAGAGAATATGACAGGTACTGGACACTTAGAGAACATGTCAGGTACTGGGCACTTAGAGAATATGACAGGTACTAGACACCTAGAGAATATGACAGGTACTGGACACTTAGTGGATGTGACAGGTACTGGACACTTAGAGAATATGACAGGTACTGGACACTTAGAGAATATGACAGGTACTGGACACTTAGAGAATATGACAGGTACTGGACACTTAGTGGATGTGACAGGTGGTCGCCACTCAGAGCAAAGGCAAAGCGGACAGACAATCAGACTGCTACTGCGACTATCGGATAATGTCTGTGCTGTCTGCTGAAGATATGGACTAAACGCTTAGCGAATTTGCTTTTTAAAAAAGGAACACCATAACCCTTGACCTGTTTAGGGTCGAGGAGGTGTATTTATGGAAGCACTAGTATATAAAACCCCGATCTCTCTCTGTCTTCCGCTTGATGAATAAGTGTATAATAACTTAGTCCTGTTAATTTCTTGATGATATCATTCCAGTCTCATCTTTGCCCTCCTCTTCTTTGACTACCCCCCCCCCCTCCAGTGTTCCTTAAAGTACAGTCTTTGCAATCAAATCGTGTCTCACCCGAACTAAGCTAGCGACAGGCTCATGATGTCAGGCAAATTTGTATATTTTGTCCCTGACAAAATTATTAGTTTTGTGTTCTAAATAAATAATTTGTAAATTGCGTCTTTATCATTTAATTCCAAAGCCTGAATCACAGTGAGAGTCCAACTCTCACATACGTAGAAGAAAATAGACAATACCAGTGATTTGTAAATAATGATCTAATTAACTGATGTGCTAATTTTTGCTCGTCCACGTCGTATTCAGCTTAGACATCGCGGCTGTTGCTATATCAAGTCTTGTCTTGATCTCTTTGGTTAGGCATTATGAGTTAGATTATCTTCACAGCACTCCGGACACATCTATAGGCGCTCAGGTTCCCCTCTCAACATATTAATCAGCGTCGTGCGGTTAATAGTACCAGTCTTATGTTGGTTAACAAGACTTCCTGTGCATCCAGTGTGCTTCTTATGCTTGGCCGTGCCGATTTTTACTCCCAATTTGCGTATTCTTAGCAGTGATGTGGACATGTTGCTTCCAAAATCCTCAGAACGTCCCATCTCTCCAAGGACAATGACAATGTCTGCGTGATCCATGGGCCGGCCATCTTCAATTAATGCAGCACCTACCAGTCTATCAGCTCTCTCATTACCAACACCGCCAGCACACCCAGGGACGAATATGAAGTTAACTGCACACACAGGAGAGTTTTGCAACGACTCTAACCACTGTCTGCGCAACCAGCCTGCCTTGACCTGCCGGATCATGCTCAAAGAATCACTCAGCACACACACGTGGGAATAGTCCTGTCATCCCAGCCACATGAAAGCCTGTGTCACCGCCATCACCTCCATCGTCATGCTGCTGGTGGTCATGGAGAAGGCAACGCTGGCTTCCTGAACTGTTCTGCCTGAAGAGCGAGCTGTAAATGTCCATGCACTCTCAGCTACCATTGTTACATATGTGGCAACCCAGATATTTTTGGCAAGAGCCAGAGTAGGGCTTCAAATAACGAAAAATTTCGTCCTAAAAAGGACGGGAGATAATAATAATGACAAGTTGGACCGAACGATGTGTCTAGAATACAACAAATATTGCCTGTAATTCACGTAAATAAACAATGGGGGACCCTTGAGGCGGTGTAAACATTATATTTATTAAACAAACAGACAATGTATTGATTAGCACTTAGAAAGAAGTAGAACACACGCTAGACGACTTGAGGGGTCCCAGACTGGCGTGACTAGTTTCTCCCGGCTCGACTGCTGCCGGAATCACAAGTCTTAGAAATTGATGATTTCGTTACACTTATGCATTACTCAAGTTTTACCGGGATTCAATTATTGTTGTGGGATTTTTAGATAAATTCCGAAATATGTAAAAATAATACTTAAAACAACAGAAGTTTTATACACCACAAATGATCTCCAGGTGGAAATTAGGGAAAAAAGGAGGAGGGGGTGGGGTTGGGGAGGGGGGGGGGTGGCTGAAGCCTCCATAACAAATTTGATTTTGGGAGCTTCAAGGTTTCTGAGCTCCACCAGGTTCCAGCGCTATTGGTATTCGATCTTTGAACAATCGGCAGTCGACTGGTGATGAGATCAACATCAGGCAAAACGACTCTACTGAACAATACATTTTCTAATACATCTTTACGAGCGGTTCGATCTTTGAGTTAAGATCAGTTTGTAAAATAGTGTAAAAATTAAAGTCAAAACATCCAGATTTATTTTTAACTCTTTGTTCTGTAACCACGTATGTTTCTATGAACATTTGATGTCAGCTATAAGTACGACGGAAAATTGGGCCGACATATACAAGCTTGTGATACCATTTAAAAACAAGAGTTCGTTTGATGTCACATCAGAGATGGTACGACAGGAAGGCATACCTTTGTGGTTCAAAATTTACATTTACAGCCCTGGCTCAGCAACACTTCTTCTTCTTAGCATTTAAAGCAGATAATTCCAGTTGGTTCGTCCACTTTTTGACTTCAATTTTGTTCCATAACTTAAATTGTTTTCGTGCACATCTGATTGATAGATCTGGTTTACTTGTATGCAGTCTGTTGATTCCTTGCCGCTAGAAATGTGTTCTGACGTCGAGAACAAAATTTCAAATTAGTTTCTTCTTACGACATGCTTGTTAGGGAGGCAAAGTGTCTATTCTTTTTTTTTTCCATCATAATGTGGCTGCAGTGTCCATACGGACCTTCTACATTGACATTCCGCTATGTCCATCATGTCGCCTGTCTCTGTCCACACTCCTGCCCAAAAAGGATTACACATGATCAATTTCATAAAGGTGAGGCCATCAGAGATGTGTTTATACAAGGATGAAGACTGCAAAAGAGGGGGTGTGACAGTATTAAGCTCATCGAGCTTTGTTGTTTGGAGAAGTGGTCAACTCGTTTGGCTCGTAATTTGAACTGTGTGAGTTTCGCTTCGAACTCTCTTTCTGTTCGCGAGTTTAATTGATTCGGAGATTAATAGATGTCCGGAGTTTTCAGTGGTAAAATAATTATTCTACAGAGGCCGAGCCCCATTGGATCTATTCTGAAAAAAAAAAAAATTTTAGGTACTCTGGATTTTTAATGATTTGTTGATTTTTTGGGGGGGGGAATTTCTTTGCTATTTTTTTTTTTTCCATCATCCTCATTGTCACATAACACCAGAGTCGTTGAGTCAGCAGTTACGTTTGACAATACATTCTCTCACCCTCTGTCGCTCAGATGCAATAAACTCTATGTTTAGATATTTCAGGCTTGTCCAAGCAGCTACGTTTGTGTATCCATGTCTATCCTGGTCTGCCTCTTCTCCTCTTTTCTTCCACTGAGTGCTGTATTATCTATCTTAAGAGACCGGTAAAGATTGTTCATATGCGAATCATTGCATTTAAAACATTTTTCACTCTTGTTTAAAGAGGCTTCTAATGGCCAGTGCAATTTTTTTTGAAGATATAATTTCCAAAGCTAGCGTTTAACACGTTAAGGTGCATATGTTACAGCCGTATGTATAGTGCCAGTGCCCTAAGCAGTCGTGTTTTTTGTTTTTAATGAGATGTTCTTGAATTTCCTTATTTTTTGCTGTTTTACGAGGAACTTAGAGTAAGGGGGGAAAAAATTAGTTTTTAGATTTAATCTACAACTTTGATAACACATGTTTTACTTTTGTGGGGTTCAGAAAATATTATTGACTTTATTTCAGAACTTCACCATTTTTAGGATGATTAAAACGGCTGAGAATTTCCTCACTTCCTTGGGCTTGCAACAAATGGTGCCCACATTCTGGAACAGATCCAGACTGACAGCCGAGGAGGGATGGTGCTACCCAATCGCTGTGGACTTCTTCGACGGAAAGGACTTCCGGTTTGTTTTCCAATACTAAAGCTGCAGTTAAGTTTAAACACAATGTTAAGGTAAAGACCCCTTTTACTCATCTAGCCCGTCCGGCACTCAGTAGATGATGTGATGAACATTACGCCAGTCACTTTTACTTCCGAGGACTCTACCTAGTATCCATTTTAGACTGGGTCAACGCATGAGCCAAGGCCAAGTTTGAAAAAGAAAATTCGTTTCGACACCGACTGAAACCAAGACCTTGTGTCAGGAGGGAACCGCCTTCGATACCGCATTTCCCAAAGTGAAAGTTACTTGCTGATATCTTTTATAGAACGTCAAACATCTACCGTCACATCTGCGGGCTGTTGATTGTGGTTTTTCCTTGGCAATTGTAACTCTTTCAGCTCCACACAACCCGCAAAGCTCTTGTTGAGTTCTAATCACAGAATACATGTTTCTTATCTCCTTGTGCTACATAAAGTTTTTACTTTAAACCACACTGCTTTAATTGTGACATAAACATTTTCTCTCTGGCAGTGTTGTTATTTTAACTCATTCTTATGCACAAAAATATTACTTTAAATTCTTTTTATTACATATCTTTTCTTGGAAACAATCATTTGAAAATTAAGTGGCTGATACTGAACAATCTAACCACTATGCTACAGAGTGAACTATACCACAATGAAATAGATGTATTAATCTTTGGTATGGGACGTCGCAGGTCGACCCAGCCTAAAATGGGTACCAGGATGGGCTGTCCTGGGAAAGTAAAGACAGCCGGCGTAATGCTGACCACATTTACCCACAGAGTGCTGATAGTCTGTAAAAATATGGGGCGCTCTGCCCATATGCCCGATGCGCCGAAAGGCGTGGAAAGGGAACTTTACTTACTTTACTTTACTTAAATAGATGTGGCTTAAAGATATGAATGATTAAATCAGTCAATCATTGAATCAGTCAGTAAAGGTATGATACCACTGCACACAGGGCTTTCGATACCCACGAGATCTTCTTGCACAGTAGCCAACGAGTAGTTCCTAGACTGATGGTGCCATCTGAAGCTCGATTAATTGCCTACCTGTCTTTTTCCTTTGCACGTTGAAAACCGCCCAGATCCTCCCCTCACTACCCGCTGAATCAATCTGTGGATTTACTGACACTGACTGTTCCGTTGTGTCAATATGATCGTAGAAATGCAATTTCAGATACTCTCAAATGTGTGCTTTTGTTTGATCATTTCAGTATTCAAATATGCACAGTTATAACACATTCAAGTTTCATAGAACTGCACCGTTTAATGGGTCAAGCTGCTTACATGATGGAGTACAAAGATCAGCCAGTCGTTTACAGGGAAAGCGCTAATCCAGGTAATATATATCAGCTTCAATATCATCATCATCATCATCATCGTCGTCATCATCATCATAAAGTGCCGTGCCGACCATCACGAGAGTGCATTGTCACAGGCCCCTGATGGACCTTGATGGTGCATGACTTGTGGTACAGAAAATGTATCCATACACACACACACACACACACACACACACAAAACACTAAACGAAACCCCACAGAGCACAAAATACTCGTTAATGAAAAATCACAGACTAACATGAGACAGTTGACATCGACAGATGTAGACAGCCTTATCCTAGACGCAGACTGTGATGGTTTACAACTCACCAGGCACGCCATTCCATCTCCGTGGATAATACTCAGGTCCAAACCCATGCTGCTTCCACAAAGCTCTTATTTTCATGCAACTGGACTCTACCAGAATCACGCAGTGCCTGTAAAGTGTGGGGTCAGGATGCAAGGATAGATACCATCACAACAACCATTCCAAAACCAACCTTAACTGTCCGAACACCTAAGCACTACTTGCGTAATACAGTAGGACAAAACATCTGTCACTGTCGGACGCTACACAACACACAAAAGCTATGCTATCACAACAAAACACATAATCACAATCTCTTCGGTCTCTAGAATATTGCTATAACAAGGTAAGATTCTACACCGTCCAACTATATCAGTCTCCTGTCCGCTGTCATAATGCCCTTTGTCCCAACACCTGGTCGCTTTTTGTCACCGTCCGCTCGCTCAGTCAGGACCATGTAGAAATCGTGGACCCGACAGTTGAGTGTTCAGTTCAGCCATACTTTATCGCCGTCACAGCTGTATCAGGTTGAACTGTATTTTGCATCTGTCGTACCAGCACATACATGGACAGTCATGAGTCCTCTGTGGCGTCAATTCTCCATCATGTAGATACACATAGTACACGGTCTCTATGATATGCACCGTTCTATGACTGTACAAACAGGGTTCTGACATGCATGCTTATTTGCACCTTGCGATCTTCAAACTGTGTATCTGTTTACATGCTGACACCCTTCCATGCCATGACTGTTCTCTCCCTGTCTCCTATGGCAGTATCTGTTTCTTTCCATTTATCAGATTAAAAAGTGTATGCCGTGTTGTACGCCTTCGGGTGTATTAGGAGTAGAGCACTAGACCTATAATTTATAGACCAATCGGCATATGGTCAGCATCACGCCGGTCATCTTTACCTCCAATGACTTTACCTGGTACCCATTTAAGGCTGGGTCAGTCGGGAAGCTAAGGTCATGTTAAGGAACATAAAATACAGATGCTCTGCCGGACCTGAACTCAGGTCCTTCCGATCCGTAGCCCATGTCTCGCCCCCAGTCACTATGATGTCGAGAAATGTATTACCATTTTCACAGAAATACATTAGTAACGTCGAAGATGAGTCCAATCTATGCGGTTTGCTTTTGTAAAGTTATGGACCCTTTCCACGCCTGCGAGCATACAGGGCATATATAGTTAGACCTATATTTAATAGACCTTTCGGCACTCAGTTGTTGATGTGGTCCACATCACGCCGGCTGCCTTTATTTCCCAGAACTCCACTTTTTACCATTCAATGCTGGTTCAACCTGGGTACCAACATAATCTTGTGTGTGTGTGTGTGTGTTTGTGTGTGTGTTTGCCTTGGTGCTCACTGGGAATATAATTGATAGAAACACTCTGTGACAGATAGAAACTCTCTAATCCTAGAAATGTGTGGTCATTCTGTAGAAATACCTGAAATTATGAAATGGCCCTTTTCCACTAAGAATTTGTGGATCTTTTGAATGAGCTCATGTGTCACACATGAATGTCGTCCTTCCCCACTTTCATTTGGCACACATTTAGGCCTGTCTCTGAATTTCCTGCACCAGTTTCTCACAGAACTGTCACTCATAAAGTTTTCACCGTATGCACGACACACTCGACAATGAATGCTAGCGGCGTTTTGACAGTACGTAGGAAATGCAATAATAGTGCCCATGCCAACTCGCTCACGATTTGTGAACCACTGAACAAATGCGACTGTAGATTTAAGTATAGTGAGCTATAAGACAGCTGAATGATGCAAGCACTGAACAGTGTCTCTAGCGCACACGGTTTAATTTTATCTGCCAATCAAATGTTGATTCTAGAATATCCGTAGTAATTTGACACAAATGACATCCTCTATAGTGAATTACTCCAGCAGATGGCGTAACACTGATTTGTTTAAGTGGGACATGACTCATACGGTTGTTTAGTGGATTCGTAAAAACATGATACCCGTGACCATGATGCGCTGATGTGGATAATCAGGAAAAGAAATGTGGAAAAAGGAAAAATGACTGCAAATAAATTAGGCGCTGCGCATAAGAGAAAGCATGATAAATACCTTACAACAGCAGCAATGATCATTATATTCAGTTTCTAACTGTATAATATTTTTCTGAAGGTAATCAGGTTTTGCTTTTCACACTCCATATCGCCAAGTGTGACCATAGCCCGGTACAAAACCTGTGTCGCTAAAAACGTTTACGTGTCAACTAAATTACTCCATGATTAGTTGACCTTCATTCCAGGCATGTATGTATCGAGTATGCGATTATGAAGCTATTTATTTTTCCAGCTTTCCTGGAGGCGATTGGTAATATGATAGCCCTGTCATATCAGTCACCCGAGCATTTGAAGAGACTTAATCTGGCTGATGACATACCTACAGATTATGGTAATAAACATATTATCCTCCTCAAGTAGCAGATTCTTTTGAGAACATGTCTTTGGTCAAAACATGTCTTTGGTCAAGGCACGCTTGAAATCCACTAGTTCTCATGCGAGTCCTCCGCCCCTTTTTTCTGGTCAACTTTCATGCCAACATGTTCTTGACGTCATTTATCCACCATCGTTCTAAACAATCTCGTCATATTGTAGCTTGTCTAAAAAACTTTAGCTGAGCATCAGTTTACAGGAGGTTGAAAACCAACCCAAGTATTTTTGGCTGTTTGTTTCACTAGGCAATACTTTGTTGACGGATTTGTCCACTGCATGGTCAGCGCGCGATTTTTTAAGTCAAGCAAAATCGGCCTCCTGCCAACTCACAAACCGAGGGAATGAACTGGGTATCTCGTAATTACGAAGCACGTTCACAACGCCTAAGCCACAGAAGCCAGTGATTTTGTGTAGCCTTGGTATTAATCAAGTTTTTGCAAAGAATGTTTTTTATCTCTATGTACGAAATCAAATGGACGGTGCAAAAGAACAGATGGGGAATCCTTACATTAAAGGACAAATTAAACGGAAGGGGTTGGGGGAGGACGTGTAGAGGTTCTGGAAGATTTTCAGCTCTCAAGGGGAAACAGAGGCGGACTTTTAATGAGGTTGCAGCTGGTACTATTAGCTTGTCATCTCTTCGTTGGTTACCGAAGAAAGGGATGGAGCACGTGTGGAAATATCCCGAGTGCAGTGATGCCAGTTCTTCATTTATTCATTCACCGGAGGACGAAACAGCATCGCGCCCCTAAACTGAATGGCTGCGTTTCGGCAGAAACATCTCTCTTCAGACATTTCCATCCTGGTACACTTCATTTCATGGGGTCCTGTCTTTAGATGGGCTCTTCTGTAAGGAATGTGTCCATTATGTTTCCTATCTATTCTGATAATTCAACAATAATCTTATTACTTGGTTCAGTAACAAATGAACGTAATGGTACATATTCCCCAAAGTAGACTGTGCTACCTCTACCGTGAAGCGTCCTGGAAAGGATCATTGATTATTTTCTTTTTAAATAAAATCCCCACTGAATTGCTGTGCCTGGGAGAGAGAGGGGCAGTAAATTGTCACGTACAGGGATGGAACCTAGATTACTGGCTAGGTCATCACTCCTAATATCCCTTATACTAATGCATTTTGCCCTTTTAGTACAACTATAACTGTAGGTGGTGTAAACTTTACCGAACGTCGTAAACCGATCCCTCAGTTGTTAGCTGTTTGTGGTTTGTCTGGGAAATTTCATGTTCAGTTGTTTCAGTCAACTAAACGGTGGGTACTCTATATCATTTTTTTTTTAAACCAAGGCAAAGCAGTCTGCTGCAAATCGCCTGCAGCTTAAGCCAATACAGGATTTCGGAATTACAAATCAAGATTTCTTCAGCATGATAGTATTTTGATAGGTGAAGGGGATTTTCCCAGTAACACGTTTATGTGCACCTTTTATCTATTTCCTACCCACCTTTTTCACACCCAAACAGTTGCCCGCCCTGTTCTATCCCCCTCGCCTGCCAACCATTGTAACCCCAGTCTCCAACTCCTCACTCTCAATGATCAGATTTGACGTTTTCTCTACCTGGCTCCTCTATAAAAGCGATACCTACCCCTTCTCTTTTGCTGCTTTCTTATCCTTACGTCCTTTCTAGGACGTAATTTTTTGTTATTTGAAGCCCCACTCTGGCTTTGCCAGGGGCCGCAATATAGGCAGGCCATAAATTTGGCCAATTGTCTGAACGCGGTTTCTGGGACCTCTCCACGGTGATCCTCATCCACATGGTGGCACTTTGTGTCATCAGGTGTTTATCGCTTGTGTGATGTCCTGGTGGGGTAGAAATTCATTCATTCATTCATTCTCTTTTGCTTTTACAATTCACAGAGGCCAAGTATCTTTAGTTAATACTGTATGCCAATATTTCGTTTATAATTATTTCGTTTTTTGTGTGTGTTGTTGTTTACATAATTTCTGAATACCATAACGTTGTCATGAAAGTCAGTTCATTTTGTAATGTGTTGGGTTTTTTCCTTTTCATTGTTCTGCGGATTAAAGCAAATCGCCGCATAGTCCCCCTGATTGCTTAATGTAAGTGGTTTTATAAGGCTAGCATATGCTTTTAATGTTTTGCTTTTTCTCTATATTTTCATCCCCTATCTTTATCAATGTTTTTGGGACAACATGGTAGTATCATTTACTCCTACAATCAGAGACGGACATAAACTTTCTGATGAGCGTGGCTTTGAAAACATTGGCTGGGCTTCCCTATGCATATCTGTTGGAGACATGGCGCTGGTCAGTGTTCGGTGGGAACATCACGGAGGAGAACTATAACAAGGAATGGTGGAGACTTCGGTAGGTGTTTACTGTTTGTCAGCTGGCGTTGAGCTGATTGGTTTGATTCTTTTTGTATGACGTAGTTTTTATTTGACCCACGCAACGGACACAAAGAAAGCATCGGGTGGGCTCAGCCCTGTTATAATATTCTATGGACGTAAGGGAGTAGCCAGGGGCCTAAACAATGTTAGAGTGCATTAACAACTGCTGCTAAATATTTTTTTTTATAATAACATTTAGGTTAACTGCTGCTACAAATGCTACTACTACTGCTGCTGCAATAGCTACAACAACAGCCACAAAACAGCAACTACTACTACTAGCCGTATTGGGCATACAGGCCTAGACATATATTGTACAAACCAAATGATTGAGGAGCTTTTAATAAGCTCTCTCTTGTATATATATGTGCATATATATATATATAATATATATATATATATATATATATAATATATATATATATGGGGGGGGGGGGGAATTAATGTTTTTGTGCTCCCAGGTTTCGACCTCCCTGTTATGACTAAGTCCTGTCCAGTACAATCACCAGGTTCAACTGTTTACTTATAAGTCGAGCGCATCGGCTTGGAGGCAATGCACCAACAATCTGCAAATGAATAAGTCAGACCTGTAAAAGGAATGTGCCTGCAACACTCGGTTTCTGGAATTAGACTAAAGTCTAGTGGTGGACGAACAACCAGACTTTTCCACCGGAGTTAAGAGCCAATGAACGGAAAGACAAATTAAGACAATAATGTTTACAAAATGCACAAAATGTTTTTAAAAAAGTAATCCTAATGCTGGACACTGAGGTGCTCATTGCCATCAAAAGAGAGGACCAATTTCTTGCAGAAGTTTTATCTGATACTCGCCAGTATCTTTCGGCAGAAAGACTATCCGCTTGCTGAGAGCGTCACACAAGGCACTAGCTCCATGATTCCAGCAACAGTCAGGAGTTAAGTTAAAAAGCCTACAATCGTGAACCGAAAAAAAAAATTACCTATCTAAACCAAGCATAAGATTCTCAGAGCGTCAGGCTGGCTACCACTCCAGTGTGCCAACTAGACTACAATCTACCAGTAACAAGGAAGAGTATGTATACATATAATGACTGGAGGTGGATGCGTTTCATCAGATTGTTTAACGTTGGAGTTGTCAACCATAGGTCACAATACCATTTATGTGTTATCTCTAGTAATGGAGGGAGATTGAGAGATTTTAGAGATGTGTGTATGACCGATCAAGCCAAAAGTTGGTAAGAAATGTTATCAGACAGTGTGGTTATGATAATAATAATATGAAAAGTAGAGACTCCACTCCAGAAGCATACACAGCAGGAGTCCACCCTTCATTAGCAGAGGGCGTCCCTTTTAGACAATTGTTTCGGCTTATTATCCTCCTAGATAGTTTAAGAGGATAGGCCAACGTGGGTCAGGACTCCAGGCCACGGACATCTCTTGCTGCGTTTTCGATAATCAGACAAGATGAACTGACTGACTTTCTGGGATAAGGTGTCCGTTTCGTTCTCGGCACGAGTTGGCCTGGCGTGAGTTGTCAGGGGCTAGTTTCAATCTCAGCACAAGTTAACCTTGTATGCTTGTATTATCTTCAAGAGTAACTTAGTTACGTGACTCATTAGGCTAATAGTTCTGTAATCTTCACAATCAACAGCTTTTGATTTCTTGGGTAGTGTGATAAAAACAGATGTTTTCATGTCCCTGGGAATGTACCCATAGTTATAAATGTCATTGCGTATTTCTGTGATAGTATCAATTCCAAAAGTAAATAGTGATTTTTACATTTCTGCAGTTATGTTGTCTGGACCTGCAGCTTTTCCCTGCTTCATCTGTTTAATGGCTTTCTCTACTTTTGATGTAGCGTTATCTTTTTTTATGGTTTCAGTTGCGTAGGCACTGAACAGTGTCACCCCAAATTGTTTGGCCCTGTTATCATCACAAGTATTGCTCATAAATATGGACTTAAACATAATTGAACACTGTGTTTAACGATTATTAAAATCCCCCGCAATTCACACCCACGTGTCCACAGGACATGGTAGCCAACATTCGAGTTTGATTTTCACATACCCGAGTACGAAATATTTTTTCCGCATGGATAAAGCGTATGCGAATGTTATACTGTTGTACAGAAAAGTAATTCTGCGGGAAGCATGTATTTTATGAGAAGTGTGTACGTCTGTTTCCGTCATTGCCGCCTTGGTAATGTGATCAACTATAGAAATGTATAGTGAAAGTGCAAGTTTTTTTTTTTTTTTTTACGTCGTTTAGTGCAACAATGTCTGGATGCAATACACAACATCTATTGCAGGGCTTCTTAACTAAGTTTACTCAGGGACCAACATTTTGGAAATGTGGGTCGTCACAGGTCCGAGGCCCGAATCCCAGCAAAGAAAGATTAATAATACTACAACAATTGGCAATGATCCGCAGGCCACATGCTAGGCCACCACTGGCCGCCAGGTGAATAACCCTAATCTAGTGTGAGAACAGAGGTAAAGGCAGTCACAGCAGCTTTTTTTGCTAGCATGAGAACCAGGTGCACAAAGATTATAACAGGTCCACAAACCAGGCTGAGAATTGCGGAGAAAGACATGATCCTGCAGAGTGGGAACTATAACTTCAGAGGGCATTCGTTGTTAGCATCCCTTAGCTACTTTTTATTGGTAATGGAGGTGTGCAAAGAAATGAACATGCAGACAATTCGGCAGGTGTTGCGCTAATAGATGGTGACGAGCTGCATGAAAGTTACATGTCGTCAAGTAACATTGGAAGCAAGTGAGTAATGCAAAGTGCGAATAGAAAATTACGGTGTAAAAAGAACGTCGCGGCGGAAAGTGATCAGGAGATTAGGCCGGCACTTTACACTCAGAACAAAGGCAAGGACTCAGTAAAACTGCTTCTGACACTAGGTGGGCCACCACAAGGAAAAACATTGCGGGGGTGGGGCTCAAACCCTACCAACACACCCCCCCCCCCCCCCCATACTGCACTGCAATTTTTGAAATGAAAATTTCGGGGTGGAACTGTGAGGCTGTGTCGGTCTTCGGCGATTAGCAAATATTTTCCTACCCAAGTTAAGAAAACATTGGGCAGGGCGCCTGAAGTCCCACATCCCACGTTCCTCTTCACCTATGCAAAATTTGGGTGGGGCTAATACCCCTTCAGCCCCCCCCCCCTTTTTTTTAGGGCCGCCAAAATAGACAGTGAGAAAACAATGAAAAACCTGCAACCAAGCCCCTTAACCATCGTAAACATTTTCAAGGCAATTAAGTTTTTTTTTTCGGCGGGGGGGGGGGGGGGGGGGGGGGGGGGGGGGGGGGGGGGGGGGGGGGGGGGGGGGGGGGGGGGGGAGAGAGGAGTTGAAGCCCCTACCTAATACTTTTTAAGGAGGTCGAGATGCCTTTTTAGCCCTGTATGTGTGCATGTGTGTGTGTGTATGTGTGTTTGTGTATCCATATATACAATTCTCAATATACATATTTGTTTTCCTGTTCACCTATTGTAAATTTCGGCAGAAAGTTATGGTTGTTCGTCCTCTTCTAGGCTTTAATCTTGTTGCAGAACTTGAGCTGGCTGATTTAAATGGTGAATGCTGGTTGCTTGCCTCTCAGACCGATGCACTCCGACTTTTAAAAAACTGCTAATTAGTCGACGTTTACTACATGCTATGTAGGGATGAAGTGTCTACTCTTTTGCTCCACACTGGGATCCAGTGTCTCACAGTAAAAGTCATGTTAAAAAAAGTTTACTTTTACAACAATTTTCATGTCTTATTATTACCAGGGCTCTCATTTAAAAAAAAAAAACACACATTGAGTGGGGTTGGGAGGAAAAGGGGAGGCTTTACAGCAGTTCTCAACTTGGCGGTCGCGACCCTTTCTTGAACGACGCTTTCACAGGGGTCGACTAAGACCATCGGAAAACACATATTGATTGAAGTTATAAGGGAAAATAATTGGGTGTCGTTAAAACATGACGGAACTGTACTAGAGGGTAGCCACAACATGAGGAAAGTGTACTAAAGGGTAACCACAATATGAGGGAAGTGTACTTACGGGTAGTCACAACATGAGGGAAGTGTACTAAAGGGAAGCCACAATGTGAGGGACGTGTACTAAAAGGTAGCCACAATATGAGGGAGGTGTACTAAAAGGTAGCCACAATATGCGGGAAGTGTACTAAAAGGTAGCCACAGCACTAGGGAAGTGTTCTAAAGGGTAGCCACAACATGACTTAAAGGGTCGCGGTATTAAGAAAGTTAAGAGCCACTGGTCTAGAGGGACCTGTGCCCTCACGTTCTGAATCCTAAGTGAAGACATTCCTACGTTGTTTCGCCATCAGATCACCCTAGACAGACTTTCTCACCTGACCACTTACTATTATCCTCGTTAGACAATACGAACTCTGGCATGACAATATATCAGTACCTGGAGAATGCTCTAATCAAGTGTAGTCGCTCAATAATGTTTGAAAACTGCATTTGAAAAAATGTAGCTTACTATATTTGTCCGAAAGGGGGTGGGGGAGGCTAAACAACATCCCCCTCCCCCCCACACACACACACAATTATTTTGTTTGGGGGTGCTATGATTTTAGACTCAACTGGCTCTTTTTCTTCTGTTTACCGCATTCTCAGATGTGAACTGCAAGGGGTATCCCCGCCAGTTTCAAGGTCAGAATCGGACTTTGACCCCGCCTCTGACGGCTACATATCTCTGGACGAACCTCGCATAAGGTATGCCGGTTTGGATTACTTCCAGTCTTTTGTAACTTTTGTCTTGGTAATTTGTGCTCGTTGTCGAATTAATGATAAGAAACGTAATTAAGGAAGACACATATATTTTAACAACTCATGAACTTTTAGCAACTTTTTTCTTGTCAACAAGATGCCAAATATGTTGTCAACTAGAGAAATAAACAACACATTAAAAATGAGAATCGTCAAATGTTTTGTATAATCAACTGTCTTGTGTAGTTTAGAAACTAGGTCAATGAACAGGCACCTAGAGAATCAGACTCTCTAGAAATATGGACATACAGAAAAATGGCTCGTATTTCATGAAAACAACATTGTTAAAAACAGAGTGAAAAGACTGCATATGAAAAGAGTGTTTTTGAAAGAAACACAAAGGAGACTGTTGAAATAAATTAGCAACATTAAAAGACAGAATAACTTTTTTAGAAACCATCCCGGAGGCAAAAGACCAAGAGTTAGACAACGTTTTTATATCCAAAACAATGCATCGCTTCCTTCTTCTGGGGGCCTTATTATAAAAAGCGATTACTTCTTCACTTCCTATAGTTTGATTTCTTCTGTGTTTACAATGTGATTGTTGTGTGTTTGGCTTTACGTGTTTGGCTTTATATTGTGTGATATTTGAGCAGGTTCAGAATTATGCCACCGTTTTCAAAACGGAAGGGTAAAGTCCCCGCCAAAAAAAGTGGAAATCGGTTTACTTCTGCTTCAAAGCGACCTTCACCGGTAAACTTACGGTCGGACCCTCGTGTCCGTCAGTTTCACACTGGTTTCTCTAGCAGGTTACTTGCCTAGTTTCTGATAGAAAAAATAAAGTTTTAGTAATTTCCTAATATGTAAGTGTCACGCCCACAAACTCAGAAAAGCAACCGGGTGACGTACTGTGGTCCGGGTTCAATCCGGGGTTTATGGAAACAACATTTCTCCAGATTTAAGATCTAGATAATAAACAAGAGGTGGCGATTTTTTAAGGGTTAACAACTCATATACTTTAGTAATTACAATGGGAGTGAAACGAATGAATTATCTAAGCTTGTTTAAATAGCAACATAATTATTGTTATTTTTATACATTGATATAAATGGATATATTGTGTTAGAACGATTAGTGTGTGCAAAATCATGATAGCCTCGGATTAGTTGAAACTCAGATGGAAGGTTGAGGGAGTAAGCTGTAGCTTCCAATCCTCCATTTAGAAAATGTTTTTACTTCTTAGAATGAATAGCACGAGGCTTTGGTCACCATGATAGTGCACATTTTTCTGCTTGAAAAAAATAATACTATCAATCTTGTGTCTGTGCTAGACGTCCTTCCATGTCAAATTCTCTAATATCTTATGTCTTAGCCGTCCCCGGTCTGTCTTTTACCCTAACTCTCTGTCCAATATTACACAGAACATCAAATGGCTGCTGCAAACATGTAATGAGATCATGATGGTGATGTCTTTTTCTAGATATTTTCTGGGCACAATTCTCCAGTTCCAGTTCTACAAAGCGGCCTGCAAGGCGGCACAACACGACCGCCCCCTACATAAATGTGACATATCTGGGAGTGCAGAAGCTGGCAATAAACTTCGGTATGATATTTATCATCATCTTTAATCTGCTTTGTCTTTATAACGAGTATGACAAACTAGAGAAGGTAAATGTGCCTAGAAAAAACATAACAACCAAAGAATGCTGAGGTGGCTTCTGCAATGTTCAGATTAAGGAGACACTATGACTAAAACGTGTCTCTAAAGTTTCTGTTTCGCTTGTTGCGGAAACTATTGAACTCTTGTTAATCATATTTTGTTTTTTTGAAAAGGTGGGGGGGGGGGGGGGGGGGTGCGTAGCTCTTATACTATACTCAGGGGGGATGGGGGGGGGGGCGGGGGGGTTGCCATACACCAAAACAAAGGGCGGGTGATTTGAAAAAGGCTGAAGACCCTGGAGACATACTTTCGTCTGGACGGACATCTATTGCTATGAAACAATGCTTTTGTCTCCCATCTCTTCACTTCACCATACAATGATACCAGTCTTTGTACACAATGTACATATTGTCTACGATCTCAAAGACTGTGTGTGTTACAACAAACAGGTGCCTCATTTCAGAGTAAATTATTATGGCGGCTTACTTTATTGATATAACTCACAAAAAACCAATTTATTCCACACAAATTCATACACTCTGGTCAGTCTGTCGACCATTAGGTAAACAGAAGGAGATTTTATTGTTGAGAAACACAATGTCACAAAAGACAGCAGCTTTTATGTAGTTCAGTAATTAGCGATTATGTTTTGTGCTACGTAAAATGTTGATGTAAGTACAGTACCTTATAATACACAGCTAAATATGTCAGAGAATAAATAAAACAATTATCAATGCTAGACGGGAACAATGAACAGAGAAGCAGATTTAAAAAAAAAAATTACAGCCGCTGAAATGAGATTCCTATAAAGGGCTTTCAATATAACAATAAGAGATAAGATCATGAATGATGAAATCAGGAGACCGGATGTAGCAGCAGCTCTGGATTTTATTAAAAACAAGAGGTGAAATTATTTGGCGACATAATGCAGAGATTACAAAACAGTATGCCACAGCAAGCAGGCGGGAATCAAGCAATGACGTATAGACCAGGCGGGAATCAAGCAATGATCTACAGACCAGGCGGGAATCAAGCAATGATCTACAGACCAGGCGGGATGCAAGCAATGATCTGCAGACCAGGCGGGATGCAAGCAATGATGCACAGACCAGGCGGGGAGAGTAGAAGGGGTCGACAATGCAAGCGATGGACAGAGGGTACAACAGAGTCGGTGTGAATACCCGTTTTTAGAGCGCACAAATGGGAATAGATATATTTTTCAATTTAAATTTAAAAAGATAAAACAATTTTGTAGGACGTGTGTGATTGGTAATATTCCAATTGACTGGCAAATTATAATTTTGCAATATCCTCTATCCTTGATACAGGAGTATGATGAAACTGGGATCATCTCAACATTGGCGGGTGGCGCTCAAACAGTTCACTGGGTCCAGTCAAGTGGACATCGGGCCACTATTGGAATACTTCCAACCGCTAACTCAGTTTCTTGAGAAGAAAAATGGGAAAAACATTGGATCGAATTCCCGTTGCTAGCCAGTCCTGTATAAACTACTTTGGGATATGTGTATACCTTCGATATGTTGCTATCGTTCTAAGAGAATTATCAGTAAAAACTGTTTCGTTTACATATTAATAAAGTATTACAACCCATTTTCTGACTGTAAACTGTCCCATCTATTGATGTCTATTTTGTTTGGTTCTTTTATTTCATATACGTTTTTATCTAAACATTCTTTCATGTCTGTTTTATCTTTTTATGTTAGGCCTTAACTTTCCTTTTTTCCATAAATATATAATGGATTGCGTCTGACGATTTCGAACAAAGAAGAAGAAAAAGAAGATGAAGAAGAAGACGAAGAAGAAGAAGAAGACGAAGACGAAGAAGAAGAAGAAGACGAAGAAGAAGAAGAAGAAGAAGAAGAAGAAGAAGAAGAAGAAGAAGAAGAAGAAGAAGAAGAAGAAGAAGAGAAGAAGAAGAAGAAGAAGAAGAAAAGAAGAAGAAGAAGAAGAAGAAGAGAAGAAGAAGAAGAAGAAGAAAAGAAGAAGAAGAAGAAGAAGAAGAAGAAGAAGAAGAAGAAGAAGAAGAAGAAGAAGAAGAAGAAGAAGAAAGAAGAAGAAGAAGAAAAGAAGAAGAAGAAGAAGAAAGAAGAAAAGAAAAAGAAGAAGAAGAAGAAGAAAAAGAAGAAGAAGAAGAAGAAGAAAGAAGAAGAAGAAGAAAAAGAAGAAGAATGAGAAGAAGAAGAAGACAGAAGAAGAAGAAGAAGAAGAAGAAGAAGAAGAAGAAGAAGAAGAAGAAGAAGAAGAAGAAGAAGAAGATGAAAAAAAAGAAGAATGAGAAAAAGATGATGATTAAAATAAATAGCCTATAAAGAAGACAGAGAGAGGGGGAGGGGGGGGGAGACAGAGAGAGACGTAGAATAGGTAGGAAGAGAGAAGAAGAAAGAGAGAGAGAAAGCGAGAGAGAGAGAGAGAGAGAGAGAGAGAGAGAGAGAGAGAGAGAGAGAGAGAGAGAGAGAGAGAGAGAGACAGAGCGAGGAAACAATAAAATTGTGGAGTCGCACAACCAATGCAGTCAATAACATTATTTTAGAATTTGTTTCTTTTTCACGCTATATTTTATGGTACAAGCTATGCCAATAAAGGTCCACTTTCCGACCTTCATCCGTTTTGGGCATATGGGGCTAGAACTGTATTATAAAGACCGATCGGTACTCTGTGAATGATGTGGTCAACATCACGCCGGCCGCCTTAATTTCCTTATACTACCTGGTACCAGCCAAGGCTAGGTTGATCTGGGTGCCTAGTCCTTACTTATAGAAAAGTCCGGTTCCGTTAGGTCCCAAACTCCCGACCTTCCTTTCTACAGGCCGGCATATAGCTGTTATCTACAACAGTTCCTACATTTTTGGACTGTCATAAAACAGATCCTGTTCTTACCTTGTCACAAATCTAAACAGTAAATTAACATAAGTAAAAACCAGTTCATGATATTATACGCATTTTTTAGGGATAAGCTGTCAGAGAATCACCAGTTAGGAACCGACATATGAAACATATGGATTGACTAAGTGAGGGTATCACTGGTATTTTAAATGCACCTGACAGAAAAGCAGAACACATCCTGAAAAAAAACTATATGTAGATACTTTGTAAAGACCAAACAAGGTTACATAATCATTCTTCTATGGAGTGCGTACTGCTAACCTCTGGTTACGTGACTGATAGGGATTGTGCTTCTGTGGCGTTTACCATTCTGATTGGGTAACTATTCACGTTATTTTAAAGCAGCGCAGTTAAAATGACCAACCCGCTCATGCAAACAGAAGTGCAATGGGGTTAACCCCATTCTTCCGAAATATATCCAGTTTCGTCCTTTTTAGGACGACATTTTTTGTTATTTGAAGCCCCATCCTGGCTTTTGCCGCAATAAAGGCAGGCCATAAATATGGCCAATTGTCTGAACGCGGTTTCTGGGACCTCTCCACTGCGATCCTCATCCACATGGTGGCACTTTGTGTCATCGGGTGTTTATAGCTTGTGTGATGTCTTGGTGGGGTAGAAAGTCAGTCAGTCAGTCTTCCGAAATGATCAAGCAAATAATCGCAGATTTTCATTGGTGATATTAACGTATAACAAGAGACAATGTTATTTAGGCAATTTAGTTGAGAGGATTAATTTGTTGTGCTTTATTACGTGTTGAAGTAATCATCGCTATGGAAAGGGAAGCAGAGAGAAAACAACAATAATCTCGTAAGAAACATACCTGCTACGATACAACAAAAGCATGTTAGGCAATACATTTTGCTACGTATTATTTGTCGCCTCACAGTTCAATGTACAGAATTAAACGAGAATTATCCGGGAGAATGGTGGCGATAAATGGAACTGGGTCACACTGTTCATGGCAACTCCTAGGCTGTAAATACCCATGGCAGTAACTGTAATGTGGCTAGCTCTATTTCTTCACAATGAAACAGTGTGAAAGACGTGATAAGTTGATTTACACTGGAAATGTTGAAAAAAGTACCACAATGAGAGACTTGACAAGTTGACCAACAGTGATTGAGCTCACAAGCTGTAGGACAGTGAAAGAGGGACAGTCATTCATTGTAGTAAACGCTGTTTGACAAACTCTGCCCCTTTTCTGTGCCTCTCTGGCATTTTTGTTTAAACATAAAAACACCTTTACTTAAACGCTTTCGTAGTGTTCTATATTTTCACATGCGAGAAGTATCTGTTTCCACACATCGGCTTTGAGGTTATTTTATTGTAGGAAAGTTTCTTTATCTAGAAACACGTTTTGTTCTTAAGCTGCTGTTTTCTGTAGGACATCAGAGAAATGACGGAGCAGCCGCAAGTCTTACCTTTTTCAAGAGAAACAAGATGGTTCTGTCTTGAGCACATTCGGAAATGAATCACACACAGACTAATCAAATAAGGACTGAAAAGGCAAATCTAACTTCGAACGTAGACGAAGGAGGCTAAAGATGCCTGCCTGGATTATAACCACAATATCGAACATCGTCTACACGATTTAACTGAACAGCACAGCATGATGCTGATGACGATTGTTAACATGGATGAGATTTATGTATACCTAACTATCTGTTTTAAGCAGTTGACCTGTGTTATAACATTTTTTGCATGTGGTATAACCTAACAACAGCCAGGGGCTGTTGTAGTTGGTTCTGCAACGTCCTGTAAAGGATACGCAACTAACCAGTGTCACCTAAATCATATGCTGACTAGTGTTTCGAGGTGGGCAATTACCAGCAGTGTTTTTATAATCATAGCATTTTTTAATTATGTCTTGATCGTTAGTAAAATTAAAGGCACAGATTTTGCCTGCAATGAAATTCGATCAACTTGTATGTCACAGAAACAATAAACATACATCAGGCAAACAATAACATGTAGCGGAACATTTGATGATGGTGACATGAGACCAAACATTTTATGTGGAGTGGAATATGCCAACTAAAGATAAAACTCAAATGAATTTATAAAGTTGACAAGTTAAAAATGTTAGAAACCTCTAAAGAAAACCTAACGTTGAGAAATAGACTTGAATGCACCCGGTTTACATTGGATGTCTGAGTTTCTCTGCACAAAGCGCTGCACAAAACTACGAAACTCTTACAATGACCCTGTGACTCTGAGGCAAATCAGTTTCATATCAGGTCACTCAGTCGTGCAAGGAAATGAACAAACTGATAGTAAGTAAAAAAAAAAAAAATGTAAAGATCCCTTGTCACGCCTTTATGCGCATCGGGTATTTGGGACGAGCGCCCATATTTATTAAGACCATCGGCACTAGGGGGGTAATGTAGTCAGCATTACACCAGCCGTCTTTACTTCCCTAGGACATACATCCTGGTACCCATTTTAGGTTGGGTCGACCTGCGACGCCCCATACCATGATAACAATACACGCAGCCAGCAGTGGGTTTCGATCGCGGTATGTTGGGATTACGAATCACACTCGCAACGCCTAAGCCACGGACTGATAAAAAAGCTACAGTAGTCGGCGGACGTGTCATGGTCCCAGCTGATATACTCAAAGATCTACTAGAAGTGAGACGGTTGCAAGAACCAAGTGATGACTGTGAATCTGCAACCTTGACAGACTACAAGAAAAACATGTTAAAAGGGGTGTGGCCAGACAAGAGCTCTGTGGAGGGAAGTTAAAGAAGAATGAGAAACCAACGCAGGATAGGTGTCATAAGCCGCTGTACGCGGCGAGATTTACTGAGGAGGGAACCTAAGCACTTACTGACTAAATAACTAACTAACTAACTAACTAACCAAGTAACTATCTAATGTTCAGTTCTTAGGTACTCAGAATCACATAGGCTGGTCATATTTAATCCATATGGTGATTTAAACAGTACCCAATCCATTTTCTATTTTTAAAGGAGTAGAGTCAATGAAAGATAGACGGACATAGAGAGAAAGAAAGAGAGAGAGGATTTCAGAGAGAGAGACAGAGAGAGAGAGAGAGAGAGAGAGAGAAAGAGAAGGAGAGAGAGAGTGGGAGTCTTTAGTTTTATTATTGCTTTCTTGCATTAAACACAGTGCATATAACGATGACGTAATAGACCACTTCCACATTAGTGCCACATCGGGCATCTGTGTATATAACCATAATATAAACATCCACAAACAAAGGGTAATATGGTCAATATTAACCGGCTTTACTTCTTACACAGCTTCCCACTGCCGATTTTAGGCTACGACAACCTGGCAGTACAAGTCAGTTTAGCGTTGTGTTAAGAAGTGTCATGTCGATGTCCGATCGATAAACTCTGGGGGGCAGTGAACGGTACAGAACCGACCATACTAAGGATAAATACGGATTCTGATCAGCTCATTACCTCATACAACATCATAATAGTGACGTAGAGGATCCCAGGCCACCCTAGCAAACCAGGTAATGACAGAGGTGACATACTGGCAAAGAAAGGAGCGACACAAGAACAACCGACCCACAGCGACAACCTTACAGACAGCAAACTTTTAAGAACTTTAAAAAA